CGAGCCTCCGCCTGGGCCTCCGCTGGGGCCTCCGCCAGGGCCGGGATGCCCAGTGCCGTCGTCGGTGAGCTGCTGCCTGGTCCTGAGGTGGGTGACCCAGAGCGTCGCCTTGCGCCCCAGCTCCTCATCCCAGAAATCGGAGTCGGCAGCGGCGGCCTTGAAGCAGTAGTCCCACGGCATCTTCGGGTCGAAGGCGTGCGGCGCCCCCGAAACCTGCGCAGCCGCGTACTCTTCCTCGGCGCGCCTCCTGATGCGCTCCATGCGCTCGGATCGCATCCGCTGATCCGCCAGCGCGACCAACCACCAACAGACCTCGCCGTAGGTGTTGTTGAACTTGGAGATCTTGTTCTGGTACAGCTGGAGCCTCGTGGTCGTGGCGGCCCCGAGCGCACGCATGCCGACCGAGAAAACTCGGAACGCAGGCAGCCACTCCGCGAACGTCGGCGGCCCTGGCACCTCGTAAGGCCTGTAGTCGCCGGCCGGCGTGATGTGATGCACGACCAGCTTGAGGGTGCGCGCGAACCGCTGGCCGTACGGCCGCCACACCCCGAAGTCGGGGCAGGGGCACGCGCCCGTCTGGATGCGATGCTCCAAGGCCGCCAGCTGGTCCCCAGTGACGTCCTCGTCTGGCTCGGGGTCCTCGTCGTCGTTGGCCGCCTTGAAGGCCGCCATGACCGTTCGCGTCCGTTGGGCCGACCAGGGGGCGATCTCGGAGTCGTCCGCCTGGTCGAAGATGGTCGACATCTTGACCTTCCTGATGGAGCTCGCATTGACGACCTCCGGGGGCCCAAGAGGGTTCCCCGGCGCCGCCACTCCGCCGCCGCCCCCAGAAGGGGAGCCCTCGCCTTCTTCGTCGGCAGGTAGTCCGAGGCGCAGCCGGCAGACGCGACGAAACCCCCGCGCATGCCCCAACTCGACGCCACGGAGAGGACGGGGCGGTGGGGGGTCCCCGCTTTCAGGGGTGGCATCCTGCACCCGGGCGGCCGCCACGCCGGCGATCCAAGCATGAGGAGGAATGAGGACGACCTCGCGGATCTGCGCAACCTCCCCGAGCTCGGACTGCAAAGCCGCCCACACAGTGGGCTGGAGACCGACCCAGTTCTGGATGTCCTGGAGGTTGTTCAACCCCCGGAGCTCGCTGGCGGACGGGTCAACCATGGCCCGGCCCCGCCTGCGGGCCCAAAGCAGCGCGGCGCCCGCGCTGCAGCCGCGCGCGGGGTGCGCGCACGAGATTGAGAAATCACACGGTCAATAAGAATGAGCACCAGTTTGGCCACTGAGCCAAAGGCCACGGAACAGCATGAGCACTGTGGCAGCAAAGATGCTATGCAACACAATGCGATGCAACAGCAGAGGGAACCCCCGGCCGGTGACCTCAGGAGGCCGCAAGGGGGCCCCAGAAGGTCACCGACGCAAGCAGTAGGAACCCCCGGCCGGTGACCTCAGGAGGCCGCAAAGGGGCCCCACCCTTGGCAGGGCTCCTGGTCGGGGGCCTTCGGTGACCAGGTCCGCTTGAGGGTTAAAACTGAGGCCTCAGTTTTAACCCTCGGAAGTGGCAACATCGTGCACTACAATCCTGTACGGCCCAACGCCGCCCGACACATGTAACAGTTATCATTTCTTTTACTTGGCACTAAAAGTCACAACAAAACAACCGGATCTTGATGACATCGTATTACCTGAGGCTTCCTCACGAAAATGATGAAAATGTAGCTGCGGCCTAGGCGGCGCAGGGGGGCCGTGCACCAGGGGTCCCAACAATAATTATTCTTTAGAATTAATAATGTTCAACAACAACAACAACCACAACAACAACAGTACCACCACCACCACCAACAACAACAACAACAACAACAACAATTTTACCCGAACGCTCAGTGTTCTCACCAGTGCCAGGGTTTTCATGCGACGCGAGACAACCCCCACTTCGTGGGGGGGCAGTTCAAGCTCTACCAAATATCCAAACGACTCTTCGCGACCACCCAAACCCAGCTTCCCGCCCTATGACGTTGGGACACTTCACTTCGTGGCGTGCGGACGACCGTGGCTACTACACTGGCGTGGGGTACACACCCACAGAACTTGGTCACTTATTCGGGGCGCGCGTGTGCCCAGCATCCTGCAATTGTGACATACAATACATGACACAGACAGACAGAGAGAGAGACAGAGAGCAGACAGAGAGAGAGACAGAGAGAGCGGAGTTGGTCACATTTTTGGGGCAAGTTCCTGAGATCGTCGTGTTTTTTGTTGGTCTTGCGCGCGCGAATGTCCACTTTACTTTTTTTTGCAAGGGAGTATTGAAATTTGATTATGTTAGAACAAGAAAAAGTAGCTCGCGCGAGCTCATGTAACATAAATGTTGAAAAACCATTGGTTTTGTGGGAGTCGGACAGCGCGCGCGGGATGAAATTTGGACATTTTTTTTTGAAAAACCATTGGGTTTTTGATGTTTTTATGTTGAAATCGTTACGAAACCTAAGGTTCTGGAAGGATTTCGTCTTGCGCGCGCGAATGTCCACTTTACCTTATTTTTTGCAAGGGATTATTGAAATTTGATTATGTTAGAACAAGAAAAAGTAGCTCGCGCGAGCTCATGTAACATAAATGTTGAAAAACCATTGGTTTTGTGGGATTCGGACAGCGCGCGCGGAAGGACATTTTGACAATTTTTTCTTAAAAAACCATTGGGTTTTTGATGTTTTTATGTTAAAATCGTTACGAAACCTAAGGTTTTGGAAGGATTTCGTCTTGCGCGCACGAATGTCCACTTTACCTTATTTTTTGCAAGGGATTCTTGCAATTTGATCAAGTAAGAACAAGAATTTTCATTTTATAGTGTTTTTTGCAAGGGAAAACGGAGTACAACAAAACAACCGGATCCGGTAATAATTCACTTTTCTGAAGCTTTCGCTAAAAAATGATGAAAATGTAGCTGCGGCCTAGGTTTTGGAGGGGGGTCGCGCACCAGGGGTCCCAACAATAATTATTCTTTAGAAGTAATAATGTTCAACAACAGCAACACCAGCAACAACAATCAGTTTAAGACTGCTCGCTCCCATGTGCTCGCGTGCCATTCAACACGTGTATCCCAAACCCTCGGTACTCGCCCTCTTCGTCTTCGATCGAACCCCCTTGGGTGCATATCTTCCTTATCTGCCACGCGCATTTAACACAGCCCCTAAAACAGGGGAAGAGAGGACGGATGGAAGGGGAAGGGAGAAGGATGGAGCACGAGAGAAATTAGCAGGAGGGGGGCTAGGAGCAGAAAACACGTGCCAGAACCAGACGGGCAGATCGGGCAGGCAGACCCTAGTCGGGAAGGCGGGCCCAGGCGGCGAGGTCGAGAAAGCGGGTTCCTGAAGCCTGAAGCGTGAGTCCTGCATGGTGTCGAGGGCGCGGCGTCTGAATAAATTGCGAGGAAGTCTCACGCGAGAGCAAGATTCCTGCATACATTGTGAGGAAGTCCCGCGAGAGAGCGCGGCCTGGGAGCCTCGTGGGGCGGAAACCTAGGATTTTCATTCCATGCCCCCCCTCTGGGGTCCCTCTTGGGAACGTCTTCGGGCCCTCTTGGGCCGTCTTGGGGCCCTCTTGGGCCAGCGTGGGGCGGTCTTGGGGGCCTCTTGGGGCGGTCTTGGGGGCCTCTTGGACCTTCTTGGAGCGTCGGAAACTCGAACAAGCAAAGACAAAAAAAGCATGGGAAAACAACTACGGACATTTGTTTGTTTGCCGCTCGGAGCCCTCGCAGGAACGGTCGTGGGGCTCTCTCGGAGGGTATCCAAGGCTTCTTGAGCCGTCTGGATGAATGCATCGCTCGACGGCTCTGCCGCCCTCGTGGGCCTCCTTACGTCCTCTTGGGGCCCTTGCCGCCCGTTCAGGGGCCGGCCAGGATCGGCACAAGGGGGCCTTGGAAGCAGCTCCTGACGGCCTCCAAGATGGCAAGATGGCCTCCAAGTTCGCCCAAGAAGGCAGCCCCAGAGCGGCCCAACAGGCCCCCAAGACGGCCCCAAGATGGCCCCAGGACGGCCCGAGAGGCCTCCAAGACGCCCAAGATGGCCTCCAAGACGGCACTGGAGCACCCCAGGAGAGGGGCGGGGCAGAGGGGCGGGCAGAGCTGGAAACCGCCAGCTTGCGCCACCACGTCGTCGGCCGTGATACAGTCAAGACGCTGAAATCAGCCACAGTGCCTGCACGATGTGCGCGCCTGATAATGTCAGGTGCTGCTCTGCAACGTGTTTGTATTCTGATGAGGGGTCCCTCCCCCCCGCAGTCGCAGACAGGGGCATGCACGCCCCCCCCGCTCCCGAGGGCACGATGCTTTGTAGAGAACGATGGGTCCGCGCTCATGAGGCCACGATCCCTCGTAAAAAAACTGTGTATCCGCGCCCCGAGCTTCCAAGACGGACCAGGCATGCATCCAAGGCAACCAAGATGGCCCAAGATGCCTCGAAGACGGACCAAGATCCGAGATGGCCCCAAGGCGGCCGAATAAGGCATCAAAACGGCCTAAAACGCGTCCAAGAGGGCCCAAAAAGGCCACAAGAGGACCACCAACAGGGCCCGAAGAAACAAAAATCATGAATTTCCCCATGTAACTTTTGAGTGTTTTTCGCATTCTCACCTTTTCGGGTCTCCGTCAACTCAAGACGGCCCAATAAGCCTCCACGATGGCTCTGAGACGATCAAAGATGCCACTACGACCAAAGATGGCCCAAGAGGACCCCACGAGGGCCCAAGAGGCATCCAAGACGGCCCTAAGACGGTCCAAGAGGGCCTTCCGTGGGACCCAAGACGGCTTTGAAGCCTTACACGGCCCTTCGACTGCCCAAAGAAGGCCCAAAAAAGGCCCAAGAGAGCTCCAAGGTAGCTTGTTAGGCCGGCTCCAAAACGGCCAAAGAGGGCCCCAAGGGAGGCAGGGGGAAGGAGTAGGGACGAGGAGGAGGAGGAGGGAGGAGGAGGAGGGAAGAGAAGGAGCAGGAGGAGGAGGAGGAGGGGGCGGCGGTCCTTCAGGCAGGCGAAGGCCAGCGAGTCGGGCTCCTCGCTGGGCCTGCGCGTCTCCTCCATTAGCTCGCCGTGCACGCAGCCGACCAGGAAGAGGAGGAAGTCCTCGACAAGGGGCAAAGTCATGGGGGGCGAGGCGGGAATAGATTCACATCCGCCGCCTTTGGAACTCACGTCCTGGGACCCAAGCGGGCGGTGGATATGGATATATCTGGGCCCCCAGAGGGGGCCGAATACATTCATGTCCACCGCCTGTCGAGGTCTCCGAAAATCGATCCTCCATGCCCCGCCTCGGAAGGGGGCTGGCTCACGGGGGGAAACATCGACCTGGAATCGGCGACACGACGCCGACAAATCGGAAACATGTCCCCGATGGCGAATGCGCAGAGGTCCTGGACGGGGCAGGATCGGGCCCCCAGTCGGCGATTCATGGGCGACTGGGGGTCGACGCATCCCCCCCCCGAGCCGACCCCCCCTGGCAGCGCCCTTGACTTCCAAGAGGCCGTCCACGGCGGCAGTACCACCGAAAACCTGCCGAGGCGACAGCCCAAAGCCGAGGGCGGCCGTGGCCGAGAGAGGCCGCAAGCAGCCAACTGAGGGGCGCGCCAACGCAGCAGATACCACGGACTCCCTGAGGAATCTCATGGGTTTCCAAAGGAACTCGATGGATTCCTGGAGAATGTGATGGACCTCCTACGTAAGCCGATCGATTTCCAAAGGAATCCTATGGATCTCCAAAGGAGTCCTATGGATATCAGCAGTAGACTTATTTTTCGTCGGCGGCGAGGCAGAAGAGCTGCACCAGCGGTGAGCGGTCGCCCCGACGCGGCAAATACACACAGCAGCCGACCGGGCCGAGGCGAACCCGGCCGACTGCGACGTAGCCGAACCGACCGAGCCGCGGGCAGCATCGATTCCCGGCTCGAGGCCCACGCCCCCTCGCGTTGAAAAAAACGCGACGGGAGGCCTTTCGCTACTCTCGGGCTCCGGGGGGGGGACGCGCGAAGCATCGGAAAGTGACAGCTACGATGGTGAGAGGGTCGGCTCTTTTCCTCACGCGCCAAGAGTCCCTTGGGCCAAAGAGGGCGCCTACGGATAGACACCGTGAAACACACCCGAAACGAGTTCAAGCTCAGTCCGCCACACTTCCGTGAGCTTGACACGAATGGGGCTCCCACCGCTGAGAAACTCATTAAAACTCTTTGGCACGACTCGAGTACGCTAGCTCGTCACCCTCGAACTGATCGAAGGTTTCAGTAACAAAAACGCTCGGCAGCCACCGTCCCCTACATCTTCCAGGCACTGAAAAAGAGAGGGAGAGAGAGAGAGAGAGAGACGGAAACCCCGACGACTACGAGGACCTCGGATCGATCACGGGTCCTTCGGTCAGCTGCCAGACCGAGGCAGCGCGTGAACGGTTCTTGCTGGAGGGTTCCTGTCGGCGGGTCTCTAGGGCTCTGCTCTCGGAGGTTATCTGCATCAGACCTGTTCTCAGCAGCTGCAGCTGTGCTGCATTGGACATGGCCAAGCCTTCCTTAGTCATGAGATCCACGGGCATCAGAGGACGCGGTATCCACCTGATGGCACTACCAAGTCGGTTGAGGGCGTCTCTGCACACCGCCAGGTCGATAGCGGCCCTTCTGTCGTCACGATTATCTAAGGTTTCTTTGTCCAGGGTATCGAAGATACCTTTCGCGTCCACCAAACAGAGGCTTCCCAGAGGGATTCGTGTCCAGGGAGCAGCTTTTCCGAAGAACCGAAGCCAAAGGGCCGATGTGTGACCTCCAGCTATCGTCGAGGAAATTTCCCTTCAGGACGTCGAAGTACAGCATTTGGAGCCACTCGGCCTCGGCCAATGCGGCACTCAACGCTTGGACCTCCCCCGCAAGAGTTGAAGGCACTCGACGCTTGACTCGACACGATCGCCAGGCGAGAAGGGTGACTCGGGCTCTCTGTCCACGGAGGGGGCAGCATCCGAGGCGCACACCTGCCACGCCTGTTGCGGCTTCTCCAGACTTCCCCGCCGCTCCACCGCAATCGGAGGCAGTAGCGAACAGCAGCGATTCAACCTTGAACTTCCACACGATAATGGGGATGCTGGCCGTCTGTCTCAAGTGATCGATCATCTTGTTAATAACCACGGCATCGCCTACAGTCAGGTGGCGAACGCGACTCGCGAGGAGGGACGCCGTGCCAGCGGCCTCCGCACGGGTCTCTCTCCCCACCCAATTCAGACGGTCCACGGGAGCTCTAAACTGAGCGATCTCTCCCCCCACTAACGGCTCGGCGTGACTCGACCTACGCTGCTTGGGGAGATGCAGTCGCTGCAACTGTTCGAGCATGTACTTATCCTGGTCCACAAGAATCCGATCGGGATTCTCAAACGCCTCCCGATGTACTCGACTCCCGTGGAATCGAGGGGCTGCATCTTCCCGAACTTGAACCGCCCCTGGAACCTTTTCCTTCTCTTGGGCCTCCAGAGACGGCTTGATTCCCATACACCACTCGTCGACTTCGATCAGAACCACGGAAACAGGCCCGCTGGGCCCCTCTTGGTCATCCGGCAGGGCTCGAGCTCGGATTTGGAATATCCCAACGATTCGAAGAACGAGACGGTCGCGCGATGAAGCGCCAGGGGCGCGTCGTCCAGTCCCCGCACAGGGGCGATCAACTCAATCAAGGACCTGGGGGGAGATTGAGCCCCTCGCAGGGCTCCACGAACACACGGCCCCGGGGTCGAGCCAACGGATCAGACTGGCAAAACGCGTTCTTAAGATCACCCGCGGCGACGTTCATGTCCAAGGCGAAAGACATCGCGAGGAACAGCATCAAGGACTCCGTGGACGGAGTTTGAGAGTACACTCGCGGCTCACCTGTGTCCTCGTCCTCGCGTCCTCGAACGCACCATCTCGATTTCGCCTTGGGGCGACTTAGCGCCTCCTCCTGTGGCTTCCACCGACGAACCACTCTACTCGGCACTACCCTATTCGGAAACTACTTCCGAAGAGTGCGACCGACCTCTGGGGGGTGCACCTCAACGGCCTCGGCGTCAGCGATGGCTTTCCATTCCGCCGCATCCGAGATGCCAAACTCCCGGGCCTCCTCGGGGCTAAGACGCTTATTGGACACCTCGGATCCGCCGGCGGTGGCCAGGGCCAAAGAGCCCGTCGCATCTCCTTCTCCCGGGAGGAGCTCAATCTCCGCATTGCCATCAGCATACTCAATCCAAGCACCACTCCAGCCGCGATCGATCACCCCTTCCTGCACCGAGGCGAAGCACTGCTCAAGGCCCCCCACCGATAACCCCGCCCAGAGATCTTCACCGAAGCCCGCCCCCGCGCCCTGGAACACCCCCCGCCCAAGAGATCTGGACCTGGCCCAGGGCCCCCAGGGGGGCCTCTCGGAATTGGCTCGCGACCTATCCGCAACCATGCGCCTGACTCTTCCTTCCAGCGGACCACCGACGTCCACTCGGGGGCGCGGTTGGTTCCTCGGTCGCTCCTGCTGTCTCTGAGCCTGCTCGCCCCTGAGCCGCTGAAAGGCCGCGCCCCGGCTGGAGGCAGAGATGGCCCCAACGGGGCCGAAGTCCAGCTGCCCGGCTCGGATCTCTGCCTCTCGCAGCTCCGAGGGGGGGAAGTCCAGCCTGGAAGCCTCGATGCCCGGCGGGGCTCCACTAGGGCCCAGGCCGGGAGATGGGGCCGCGCTCACCGAAGGAAGAGAACCCCTGGAACTGGCACCTGGCTCTCCTCGAGTGGAGCCCTCGGACCCCTCTCGAGCAGGAGCTGTCTCCGCTCCGCCGGGCGCGGGGAAGCCTTCACTTAGCTCGTCGCGCCCTGCGCCGCCGAGGTGCTGAGAGCGGCCGGAGGCAAGCATAGAGGGCAAGGGGGCAGCGTCTTCAGGAGGGGGAACTGGGTCTCCCCAAGCGTGATCTGGAGGAGGACCCTCCCGCATCACATCAAACCCCCCTCAGTGATAGCTAGCCCGGGCCTGCTCTGGCCGGGCTTGAGCTTCACCTCGTACCCCACCCTCATCTCGCATCTCTGACACATCTCCCACGAGCCGCGGGGGTTGCCGCGCGACTTCACTCGATCCGAGGGGCGCGCGCAGCCCAGCTGCTTGTCGTTGTAGACACGGTCTCGCTTCTTGAGCTTGAGCGGCCACTGGCGCCCCGCGCTCGCCACGCGCAGCAACCGGCGCACTGGCGAGCCGCGAGGTACGCCCAGTATTTCTCGCCGACCGCCATGCCTTTGGGATACGCTTTCCCGGCCATGAGGTAGTAGAGTTCGCGGGGGGGGTCCCCGGGAGTTGTTGGCCCCGCCCCGCACGTGGCTCGCAGGTAAGTCGAGGCTTTGGGGTCCAGCTTGGGCTGCACAAGCGCCATGGCACTGACGCGAGAAGCGAACTCTGCGAAGGCTGCGAGTACATCGAAAACCCCCTGGGCCGCCCGCGGCTGAGGGCGCAAGAACAGAGATGGAGAGGCTCTCTCTCTGTCCCTAGACTCGCCTCTGAAACTCCTCTGAGCGTTTCCGGAATCCGAAGTCTCGAGGTCTCCGGGGCCCCCCCGGAGGTCTCTTCGGATCCGAGGTTTCCGAGGGCCGCCCGAAGCCCCCCTTGACCCCAACTCGCACGACGACGCAACAAAGCGCTCACCTCCTCCATCGCACACGTAACCTCCGCGATCTCGCGGTCTTCCTCTATGTCCTTCATGTCCGTCTGTATTGCTGCGATGACTGATCGCCCCGCCTAGAGCTCGCCATTCCCGATGGACAGGCCCCCCCGAATCCGACCCCCGGGGCCCCCTGGACGCAGCCTTTCCCTGGGGGCCCCCTGATCTCCCCCGAGGGCCCCTCGCAGACGACGGGGAGACGACGGCGTCAGACGAGACGAAGGAGAGAAATCGATGGAAGACGCGACGTCGCTCTGGCTCTCGCTCAGGCGAAAGTCTCGCGCCTGCAGTCCGCATCGCTCTCCGCGGCCTCGGGGGGCTCAAGCGCATCCGACGGGCCCAGCTTGTCGATCGCGATGGCGCGGTGCTCTCTGCTCAACCTCTGCAGGCTCGCCGTCACGCCCAGCTTGCCGAAGCTCACCTGGCTCCGCGGGAGGTCTATCACCGCCTCGAGCTGCTCCTGCATCCCGATGGGCACGAGCGCTGGCGCGCCCTCGCTGATCAGGTCGAGCTCCACGACGCCATCCTTTCCCTCGATGCCGTTCGGCACCAGCGCGCCGGTCTGCACGGCCATTCGGCCTCCGACTCCTCGCGCGAACTCGCGCTTGCTCGGAACTCGCACTACCTCGCGCCCCTTGTCGCCGAGGTGGCTCCAGCCTCGTCAGCGCCGGCTTGCCTATCAACGCCTGGCCCGCGGCCGCGCCCACCACGACGTCGCCGGGCGCTGTAGTCAGCACGCGCGCGATCTCCGCCCGGCTGCTCCTGGCGGCCTCCAGCGCCCACTGGGACATTCCGCGCGCGCCCCCCAGGAACGCCGTCGGGCTGGTGGCCAGCGAGGGGGCGTCGACCGCGCTGAGCAGCACGAAACCCAAAGCCGGTGGTGGCGTCGAAGTGGTAGTCTTCTTTTCTCCGGGCACTCTCGGCTCCAATGCCCCTTCTTGTGGCAATTGCGACACTTGGTAACCTGCATGAGTTTCTCGATCGGCATGCGCTGCTTTCGACTCCGAACCGCTCCTCGAGCGCTTTGATGCCATCCGTCTCGACGGGGAGGCGGCGGCGCCAGCCCCCACGACGAACCGCTTGGCCGGTAGAATCTCCGGTCGATCTTCAGCTGTCTCTTGAAGTCGAGATCCCCCTTCCGCGCATTGCGCCTCTCCTCGTTCATGGCCGCCAGTACCTCTGGCAGCTCAAGCTCGTCAACGTCGCAGGCGTCCAGGGTGTCTAGGAGCACCATCTCCTGGTCCGCGTCCATCGATGATACGTCTAAGTCGTCCCAGACGTCCTCGGTGCTGCCGACGGCCGTCGTCTAGAGAGGCAGAGGTGCCGCCCTTGCCGCTCCTCGGGATCATGTGCTCGGTCTTCGATACATCCATCTCGCGCACCGCTGCGATGACCTCCGAAAACTCCCGGGAGCCGCGAGACATCACCTTCAGCATCTGCATGCCGTTCTCGCCCAAGCCAATGCCCTCCTCCAACGGGAGGCCCTGGACCTTCAGCCTCTCGAAGTTCTGATCCAACCTGGCCGTGTACACCGAGAGGGTCTCGTCGGCCTTCCTGCGGAAGCCCAGCAGGCACTCCCTGCCCGCTCTGCGCTTCTCGTCGTCGATCCGTTGTCCAGACACGGTGTCCAGACGCCGGAGGATGGCCTGCACTCCGTCCGCTGATTGTAATGGATCGTTTGATATGTCCTCGAATGTTCGCTGGAGGTCTCTGTCCAGCATCTTCAAAAGTTTGTCTGCTCTCTTCTTGACAGGGACGTCGGTCTGGTCGACCCACCGAACGAGACGCTTCCTCCACAGGCGGTAGTCCGCCCAGCCCATGAAGGCCTCGGGGTCTGAGAAGTCGGGTTTCTCCAAGCCACCCTTCCAGGACCACGAGTCTCGCCAACTGCTGACCTGCCACTCGGCAGTCTTCCAGCCGTCGTCGCGTTTGGACCAGCCCTCGTCCCACGTCCTCTGTTTTCCTTCTCGTCGGTAGCCTTGGCTCCCTGGTCGGCGGCCCGTTTTCCATGGGTCTTCTCCTTCCCATGGGTCCGAACCGTCGCGAGCTTCCCGACCAGCGCCCTCTGACTCCCTGCTCGCGTTCAGCTTGGTGACCAAGCTCTCGATCTTCGTCCACTGCTTGTCGAACAGTTGTGTGATTTCCCTGACCTGTTCGTCCGTGAAACTGCTCGACACCCCTTCTATGGAAGATACGTCCTCGCCGCGGGAGGTGCCTTCTCTCTCGTCGCCATTGTCCTGCCTACTCTCCGGCATGCTGCGCCGTGGATCTGCCGCAGCTGCGCGGCTGCACTACGCTCCGCCACCACTGACGCGCGAAGCATCGGAAAGCGACAGCAACGATGGTGAGAGGGTCGGCTCTTTTCCTCACGCGCCAAGGGTCCCGTGGGCCCAAGAGGGCGCCTACGGATAGACACCGTGAAACATACCCGAACCGGGTTCAAACTCATACCGAATATACATATCCGAAAGAACTCAAGTTCTCAGGGGGCCCTTTCCTGGGCCTCAGGGCCGTCAACAACACGGCTCGGGATGCAAAACAACCGGTCCCTGGGAAGGGGCCCGGACTTCTGGAGGTCGCGCCACGAGCAAATCAGGACGTCGGGGGTCTGGGGGCGCGGCGGCGCTCTGCACCCCTCTGGGGCCTCGGGGGGGCTCCTCGTGGCCCCCTCTGGGGCCTCGGGACCGTCAACAAAGCGGCTCGGGACGCAAGACCGGTCCCTGGGAAAGGGGTCTGGACTTCTGGGGGTCACGTCATTCGGGGGCGCGTAAACATGGATTGGCGATCCATGAATTTGGCGCTCGGTCGCCGACTCCATGGATCGGGGCAGGTGCCCTCCCCAAAATGCGGCAGGGGCCGCCTCGTTCGGCGGCGGAAATCTGCGAGTTCCCATGGAAACGGGACCCGTCGCTTATCCACGCTCCCTTGATCCAAGGGGGCTCCTCGTGGCCACAGCTGGATGCGCCTCGGCTGGCCAAGACGAGCCTGAAAGGCCGTTATCGTCGTCGTCGTCGTCGTCGTCGTCGTCGTCGTCGTCGTCGTCGTCGTCGTCACTCGACTCGGATGCCTCCGCGCGTCGTGAGCGGAAGCACGACGGCTGGTTCGGCGCAGCTTCGGGAGGGCTCTGGAAGCCCCCAGCCAGGCCCCCGGTCCGACAAAGACGGCTCGGGGTGAAGGAGCCGCGCCTCGCTGGCAGGAGCCGAGAGGGCCTGACGGCGTCAAAGAGCGCGGGCTCCTCCAAACAAAAATGCTCGACCGAACACACAAACACGCGTGTAACCCCCCACCGTGCCGCCTCGACGCACTCACTGTAGTGCCCTCGGGCATATTCGAGCCCTCAAAACTGTGCTCCGAATAGCCTCGAACTCTCCAAGCGCTGAATTTTCATGTGAAGCCTCGCCCGTCCTGGGCCAAAACGGTTACAGCGAGTGGAGTCCCAGCTACATACTGTGCCTTCGCGGTAGGCGCGTGCGTGAGCGAGCCTCCTGGCCTCGGATGGAGGGCCCTCGCGCCCTCGCCAAGCTGCGCGAGCGGTGCGCTTCGCACCGCGCTCTCAGCAAACGAGACTCGGGGAGACCACAGGCGCCCAACTTACATACGGAAGCTGGGATCCCCAACCGAGCAGATTCCGACTCTGCGGCGGACCCCCTCCCGAGGGAACCACCTGGAGAGGGCTCCGTGTTTGCCATGAGCTGCAGGGGTCCCCAAAGCCTGTCGCACCGAGCGCAAGCCTCCACGAATCTGGCTTGCGCCACCTTCGGGGGCTTGCAAGGCGACCGCGCCAATCCACTCCCCTGTCCACGGTGTGTCCCCTTCATTCATTCCGTTCCTCCGCCTCCTCCGCCTCCTCCTCCTCGTCCTCGTCCTCGTCCTCGTCCTCGTCCTCCTCCTCCTCCTCCTCCTCCTCCTCCTCCTCCTCCTCCTCCTCCCTCCTCCTCCTCCTCCTCCTCCTCCTCCTCCTCCTTTTCCTCCTCCTCCTCCTCCTCCTCCTCTTCCTCCTCCTCCTCCTCCTCCTCCTCGAGGAGTAGGAAGAGCAAAAGGACGCAGGGAGGCGCGAGGAGGCTGGAGGAGCCGCCCGCCGCCCGCGCCTTCCGCCCCATCTCGTCCACGCCAGCCCGGAGCAACGAGGCCACCTCGGGGGCGGCGCACCGGAACGGGGGGAGGGGGGGAGGCCGAGAGGGCGGGGCGGGCCTGGCTCCTGCTCGGGGGGGGACAGGGAGGGTGGACAGCCCAGGACGAGGAGGGCGAGGAGGACAAGAAGGGCGAGGAGGGCGAGGAGGGCAAGGAGGACGAGGACAAGACAGAACACGAGCACTTGCGAGCTAATGCTCCGGACGTCTTTGCAGCCGAGCTGCGACAGCAGTGGTAAATACGGGAAGGAGTATGGAATATTTATGAAATGGCCATGTGAACGCTTTGGGACAGCTTTTACCAGCGGCCCTGCGGGGGAGTCCTTAGGCCTAGGGAGGGAGCACACCTGGGGAACAGTGGCCCCTACATGGCCCTCCAGAGGCACCTCTCCCCTTAGAGCTGAATTAATTTGCAAGTCAAGGTCGCAATGCATTCAATAACTCACCTGATTCATTGGCTGCCTGGCGCTGCCTCATCAGGAGGGGGAGGGAGGGTCAAGAAAGGGGAAGGGTAGGGGATTCAACAGAAGAGAGCGGGAAGTCTCCTGGCCTTCGGCGGATTCCAGATGCCCTCTGAATTAGGGTAGTCATACTGAAAATAAAATCCACAGGGACTCCAGGCTTATGAAACATCCAGAAGCTCCGAGCGCCAGCACTGTATTCGAGAATTGGTTTGGAAGATCTAGACTGAAGGGTATTCACGGAGACCTCACTCAGAATTCCATTCAAGAGCATGTCGCGCATTCTCTCGGATCCTGCTATAACGGTCAGCCTTGCCCTGGGTCCTTCACGCCCTTGCCGCCCTTCTTGTTGACCTGCTTCTGGATGTCCTCGCGAGAAAGCCCAATGCGCGCCAGCAGTTTCTCCGCGTCCCTCTCCATGGCTCCCCTCGGCGCCGACCCTGGTTTGAACGTGCCTTTCTGGTGCTCGACGGCTTGGCAGAGCGCCTGGTGAAGACTGATCTGGTCCTGGCCCGTTTCGCCCTTGATGTTGATCGTCTGCTGCGCTGGCGCCACCATGAACTGGAAACTGTGCATCTGCGGCTCTTGATGCTGCTTTTTGTCCAAGTAGCAGCCCCAACGACGAAGAAACCGAACGTGATCCTGAATCACGCGCAGCGCTGCATCCTGGCTCATCTGAACTACCGCGCTCCAGTAGACCGTGAAGGTCTTTGCACACTCGCTCGGCAGGTCGTTCCCCTTCTTGGCCAAGTAATAGAGAAGAGCCAGAAATATGTGCGCCCACGGCGGGCCAAAAGACAATGATCTTTCCATGTTTCCTCGCACTGCGCGTTGTAGTCCTGGCCCGCTATTTGGATAATTGCCACCATGCCCGCCTCGGGCGGGACCAAGTAGCAGGTGCAACTGGCGCCGATAAGACCCGCCAGCCCTCGACTGTTCTGCAGCGCGAAGCGGCACAGGATGGCGATGAGCGCTGCGAGCACTCCTCCAGCTCCTTCTTTGTCTCGAAGTACCTCTTCTCGAAGTTTGGCTAGCTTGGTGTCTGAACCCGCTGGCGAATCTGCCTGTGCCTTGCGCCTCCCCTTGGGCTCCATGAACTAGTCTGGCGCCTCCAAAGCCGCCATTGCCGTCGTCCACGACAGGGAGTAGCGCAACATGAGAACGAATATGCCGTGACGAATCTGAGACGGTAGCTTCTTGAGCCTCACATAACGGACGCTCAAGAGTCGATATCGTGCTGGGCAGAAATGCCGAACTTCTGGAATACACACAAACTCCTGTCTTAAAGCTCTGGACAACATGCTTGCAGGCCGAATTCCTGGACTCGGAGACGTTGTCGCAAACAAAGCACTGGTTGGTGCAAATGGCCAGCCCCAGGATCGAAAGATGGCCTTGATGATTGTGGAAGGCTCTGGGACACCCGCGGACAGCACATTGAAACTCAGCAAGCGTTGGGGACGTTCGTGACTCACGTTGGGCTTCAGACATGGGCGACCATCCAGGCGGGGGGGGATACATAATCCAAGCCATCGCGCTCTGAAGATCTGGGGCTCCAGTCGGGCGAACCAATCAATAAGCTCGGGGGGTGTGAAGAGGCGAAATGATGCATTGTTAATAGATTCGACCATTCCGTTTTCAGTATCTCCAAGATTCCGAACAGAGGCTATATCGTTTACAAACCTACGCGCCCAGGGACAAGCACCTTTAGGTAGCTGGCCATCTTCGTTCAAAATGATGATCCCAAACTCTTGTTCCACCTTCAGGATCCCAAGAATAGTTCCCCACTCTGTTACGTGTTTGCCTCACGTACCCATGGTTGGCACCATTCAATGCGACGGGCATCACATCCTATTTCTATTGGTGCGATTTGCCAATAGTTCACAACTGCATCGTTAGATATAGAAACCATATGTGTTCCACTAAAGTTTGCGGCCTCCTTCTTCATGGCTCCCCTGGCGTACAATACGATTCGGATGTGCGTCTTCTCGAGCACGGTCGTAGTCGGGGCAAACGCCTCTAAACCAAACAACGCTAAGTCCAGAAGGCGACTGAGGAAGACTTGTTCGTTTTTCTCTGTACGGTATGCGATCTCGTTACCAGTAGCGGCCCATGGCCGCAAATGCAGCGTCGATCGCGTCCAGGCGGCACGCCAGCTCGTTCTGGAACGCGGCGTCTGCACGCATGATGCCTCCCAAATATTTAGCACGATCTTGTACTCGGCCAGCCACTGGAACCGTTTGCGAAGCAATTGCGAAGTCTGTCCAGAAACTGCCGCCACCGTCTCGTTCTTAGACGGATTGATCAAGTAGTTGCACCGCTGAATTATGCTGGTGAGGATGGTCTCGTACTCGATTGACGTGCGGCATACTTCAATGTCAACATCATCTCCCTCTCCATTCGATACAAGAACCTTTGCTGCGTCATCGACGCGTCTTCAAATACAGTTCCCATCTATATATATATATATATATACATATGTGTGTGTGTGCAAAGTGTAAAAAAAGTTGATTGACCATGGGTTTCCTTGCAGAGCGCCGACGTTAGGTTTGGCTACAAGAACGCCTTCAGGCCCACAAAAACACACAGCTGAGTGTTGAAAACGATGTTGACCAAATCTGCGTTCAGTATCTTTCATGACAGTAACGTTGCTAGCAGTAAGCGAAACAAATGAAGTGCTGCCGAAGGCGTTCGTTACGTCTTTGTGATCACGAATATGCTGTAGTCCAAGTCGGCGCAGTCTCCATCCAAGCGACTGCTGGGCCATCATGGGGGGCTCTTGTCTTAATGCTACACATCCGTGCGAGAACTTAGCTTCGTGATTACGCTGAGTAGGACGCATGCACATGATATAAATACTTCCCAAAAGGAACCTAGAACATATGTGATGCGTTTCCATGCGATAGCAACTTCATTGGATTGGTTCCGATTCAGAGGGACCTCACCAGTGCGATTGATCTTGTGCAGCAGGCATTTGGGAAAATGTCTGGTTTCACGAAGCTCAATGTTCGGGGCTTCAGCTCCCAGCCCTCGGTACCTGCGTGATGTTCAGCAAGAGGACGAGGAGGGCGGACGAGGAGGGAGGACGAGGGGGACGAGGAGGGAGGACGGGGAGAAGCCCAGAGGGAGAACGAGGGGAAACCCAGGGCCTAGGCAAGATGTGCATGTGTGCGCCTTTCCAGTAGTCTCACGCCGCGGTTTGTGACCAGAAGTGCAAGCTTGCGCAACGGGTACAAAGATGGGAGCGATCCCTTTTCAAAACAGGCGTCTCACTGAACACCCCGTTAAACTGAATCGTCATACTATTTTCGTATGTCTTACTGCTCGTTGGAAGTGTGCAAAGCTTTTCAAAACGGGGCTCTCGTCTCAATGGCAGGCCCACCAGGTGCTGGTCTTTCAAGGGGACGCTTCTTGTAGTGAAGAGGAAGGCCTGCAGGGATTTATGAGGAGGGGACCTGGGACGGGAAGGCGTGTTGCAGCATCGTTGACGCATCCTGGGTGTGCTGTGCTCCTCCTCCTCCTCCTCCTCCTCCTCCTCCTCCCCCCGCCGGCCCGCCTGCTCCAGCATGCCCCTCTCCTCGGGCAGCGCCTGGGCCAGCCGCGCGAACTCCCCACACCTCGGCGCTCAAGGTCTGATCGCTCCTGCTTCTCCTCCTCCTCGACCTCCTCCTCATCCTCCTCCTCAGGCTGCTCCTTTTCCTCCTCCTCCTCATCCTCCTCCTCCTCCTCCTCATCATCATCATCATCATCATCATCATCAGCAGCAGCAGCAGCATCATCATCATCATCATCATCATCGTCATCATCAGCATCATCATCATCATCATAATCATATTCCTCCGCCTCCTCCTCCTCCTTTTGTTCCTCCTCCTCCCTTTCTCCTCCTCCTCCTCCTGGTCCTCCTCTTGCTCCTCCGCCTTCCTCATCCGCCACGGCCATTGGCTCAGGTTTTCTCATCCTTCTCATTCCTCCTCCTCCTCCTCCTCATCATCATCATCCTCCTTCCTGTTCCTCCTCCTTAGGTTTCGGCCGTCGCCTTTACTTTACTGCCCGTTGTCTGACAACTGGTCGCTTCTAGCAGCACGGATTTTCAGCGACCTGCCGCACGGTCTCCAGTACTTCGCCGATGATCGCCTCAACCCGAAAGATAGGTTTAGGTGCCCGCTAAGCTAAGAGCACGCATGGTAGTCCTCCTCCCTCATCAATCCTCCTCCTCCTCCTCCTCCTCCTCCTCCTCCTCCTGCTCGAAAACTTAATTTACTCGGGGATGTTGCTGGCCAGCGGCTCAGCTCCTCCCTACGCAGCTGCTGGCATCTTGGCTGGGCTATCTGGAAGCACTGCGGCATCCTCCTCATCATCATCCAGATCAGAAGGCTGCCTGATCATTTGACAGGTGGGGCAGGGTGTGCCCCTCCTCCTTCCTCCAACTGCGCCTCCTCCTCCTCCTCCTCCTCCAAATAAGAACCATCATAGGCATCATGACCATCACCACCACCACCGCATCCACAATCGTAATCATAACCATAATCACCATCCTCATGATCACTATCGCCATCACCATCAGCATCAGCATCGCCATACTCATCATCATCAGCATCATCACCACCACCACCACCACCACCACCATCATCATCATCATCATCATCAGCAGCAGCATCCTCCTCCTCATCATCAGCACCACCACCACCACCATCATCATCAGCATCACCACCACCACCACCATCATCATCATCATCAACATCATCAGCATCAGCAGCATCATCATCATCATCATCATCATCATCATCATCATCATCATCATCATCATCATCATATTCGGCATCGGCATCCTCATCATCATCATCATCATCATACTCATCCTCATCCTCATCGTCATCAGCATCATCAGCAGCAGCATCATCAGCATCCGCATCAGCATCAGATTGACAATCATCATCACCACCACCATCATCAGCATCATCAGCCGCATCAGCATCAGCATCGACGTCATCATCATCGTCATCATCACCACCACCACCACCGCCATCATCATCATCATCATCATCATCATCATCATCACCATCACCATCACCATCACCACCACCACCACCACCACCATCATCATCATCAGCATCATCATCATCATCATCATCATCATCATCGGCATCAGTATCATCATCATCAGCATCACCACCAGCATCAGCATCATTAGCAGCATCAGCATCAGCATCAGCATCGACGTCACCATCATCATCGTCATAGTCATCGTCATCAGCATTATAATCAACAGCATCATCAGCATCATCAGCATCAGCATCATCATCACATCACCATCAGCATCATCAAAATCCGCATCACCATCAGCAGCATCAGCATCATCGCAATCATGATCATGATCATCATCATCATCATCCTCATCATCATCATCATCATCACCAGCGCCGTCATCAGCATCAGCATCACCACCATCATCGTCATTACCATCAGCATCGTCTGCATCGTCGCCATCATCGTCATCATCGTCAGCAGCATCATCAACATCAGCATCATCATCATCGTCAACATCATCAGCGTCGTCGGCATCGTCATCGTCGTCGTCAACATCATGCGAATTAGCGTGTACACCATCATGATCAGCATCGTCAGCAGCATCATCAACAGAAGCAGCAGCAGCATCAGCAGCAACATCAACCTCATCGTCAGTACCAGCATCCGCATCAGCATGTTCATCATCAGCAGCATAATCATTATAACCATCTGCATCGCCATCATCGTCATCATCAGCAGCATCAGCATCCGCGTCCTCATCATCATCCGCAGCATCAGCAGCATCAGCATCACAATCATCAACCTCATCATCATCATCAACAGCAGCGGCAGAATCACCATACCATCATCATCAGCATCAGCATCGTCGTCAGCATCGTCATCATCAGCATCGTCAGCATCAACATCATCATCATCACATCAGCAGCATCAGCATTATCAGTATCATCCGCATCAGCATCATCATCATCAGCGGCAGCAGCATAATCATCACTACCAGCATCATCATCAGCAGCAGCATCCTTCCCCATCCCCCGTCCCCTCCCACCCCTCCCCCTCCCCCTCCCTCCCCCTCCCTCCCCACCCCGTTCCCCATACCCATCCCATCCCCCATGCCCTGTCACCCCACCTTCATCGCACATCAGTCTGATCATCCTCATCCTCCCCATGCTGATCCTCCTCCGCCTCCTCGTCCTCTTGATCATCCTCCTCATCCTCCTCCTCACCCTCTTATTAGCATGCGTGTTGTTTGTCGTCGAATTGTTGTGGTTTCGCCTTCGAGTCATTCGAGTTATTCATATGATTGTACAACGTCTTATTTATAGTGTTCGTAGTTTTGCTATTGGTAGCCTTCTTGTTAGTCGTATCATTACTAAGAGTCGTGCCCTGCGCGTTAATAGATGTATTGTAGTGCTGCCCTTAGGGTTCGTATTGGTCGTATGTGTGTGTACGCCGTCGTCTTCTTGGTCCGATGACTTGTCTTGTTACCAGTAGTCGTTCATACTATGTGTGTTAGCATTAGTGTTATTAGCAGTGTCAGTATTAGTGTCGTAGCCGTAGTCGTAGTCGTAGACGTAGCCGCCGCAGTAGCAATAACAGCATTAGTAGTAGTAGTAGTAGTAGCAGTAGTAGTAGTAGTAGTAGTAGTAGTAGTAGTAGTATGGTGGTGGTAGTAGCAGTAGTAATAGTAGTAGCCGTAGTAGTGGTAGTAGTAGTAGTAGTAGTAGCAGTAGTAATAGTAGTAGTAGTAGCAGTAGTAATAGTAGTATTAGCAGTAGTAGTAGCAGTTGTAGCTGCAGCAGTAGTAGCAGTAGTAGTAGTAGTAGTAGTAGTAGTAGTAGTAGTAGTAGTAGTAGTAGTAGTAGTAGTGGTAGTAGTGGTAGCAGTAGTAGTCGTAGTAGTAGTAGAAGGAGTAGAAGAATTAGTAGTAGTAGTAGTAGTGATAGTCGTAGACGTAGTCGCAATGAAACTGCTAGAAATAATAATACTGCGATTTCTCCTCCTGCTCCTCCTCCTCCTCCGCCTCCGCCGCCGCCTCCTCCTCCGCCTCCGCATCCGCCTCCGCCTCCGCGTCCCCCTCCTCCTCCAACCTTTCCTCGTCCTCCTCCTCGTCCTCCTCCTCCTCATCCGCCTCCGCCTCCACCCCCGCCTCCAACTCCTTCTCCTCCTCATCCTCCTCCGCCGCCGCCTCCTCCTCCGCCTCCGCCTCCGCCTCATCATCCTCCTCCTACTCCTCGTCATCCTCCTCCTCCTTCTCCTCTTCATCCGCCTCGGTTCCTCCTCATCCTCACTACCGTCGTTCCTTCTCATCCTGCCCCGCCTCCCCTCCTCTCCCTCCCCATCCTCCTCCTCCTCCTCCTCCTCCTCCTCATCTTCATCATCATCCTCCTCCTCATCCCCTTCCTCCTCGCAGACGGGGCAGGATACGAACAGGAACGAGCCCTGGGGGTCCGCGAGGCCAGGGGAAGTATTAGTGCAGCAGCACATCCAGGGTGCTCCAAGAAATGCAGTCCATGGGAGGGCTCCCCCCAACCCCATCACCCTCCTCCTCTTCATTCCTCCTCCTCCCTCCTCCCCCTCCTCCTCCTCCTCCTCCTCCTCCTCCTCCTCCTCCTCCTCCTCATCCTCATCCTCATCCTCATCCTCAGCATCATCATCATCATCATCATCATCATCATCATCATCATCTCATCATCATCATCATCATCAGCATCATCATCGTCATCATCATCAGCATCATCATCACATCATCAATCATCATCAATCATCATCATCATCATCATCACATCATCATCATCATCATCATCATCATCATCATCATCATCATCATCATCAGCATCATCATCATCAGCATCATCAGCATCATCATCATAATCCTAAGCATCATCATCATCATCATCATCATCATCATCAGCATCAGCATCATCATCATCATCATCATCATCATCATCCTCAGCATCCTCATCATCAGCATCATCATCATCAGCATCATCATCATCAGCATCAGCATCATCATCGTCATAATTATCATCAGCATCATCATCATCATCATCATCAGCATCAGCATCAGCAGCATCATCATCATCATCAGCATCATCAGCATCATCATCATCAGGATCATCATCATCACATCATCATCATCATCATCATCATCAGCAGCATCATCATATCATCATCATCATCAGCATCAGCATCATCATCATCATCAGCATCATCAGCATCCTCATCATCTTCATCGACCCCCTCATCGTCCTCCTCTTCATCCTCCTCCTCAACCTCATCCTCAGATTCGTCGTCGTGCTATTATTGTGATGGTGGTTATCATTTTGAGCATTAGTAGTATTCTTAATACTAGCCGCAGTATTACTAGTATTACTAGTATTAATAGTAGCAGTAGTATTAGTAGCAGTGGTCGTGGTAGTAGTTCGAATATTGGTATTAGCATCAGTATTACCGTTGACGTTAGTAGCAGTATTATTCGTAGCAGTATTGGTCGGCTTCCCATTGGTCGTCATAGCGTTAGTAGTCGTAGTATGAGTGCTATTAGTAGTAACAGTATTCGTCGTTTTATTAGTCTTAGCATTAGTGGTAGCATTATCACTGTTCGCAGTATTCTTGTTTCTCGCACTATCATTCATAGTCGTGAGATTCCTGATTATTCGTAGTAGTCTTCGCATTAGTAGTATTACTATGAGTCGCATGTTCATCATATTATTGTTCTAGTAATATGATCAGTCTTATCTTCATAATATTCGGCGTCGGCGTATTCTTCTCAGTCTTCGTATCAGTGTCACCCTCATCATCCTCCTCGTCCCTCTCTCCCTCCCTCCAGCCATCCATCCATTCATCCATCCCTCTCCTCATCCCTCCTCCTCCTCCTCCTCCTCCAGCTGCTCCTCCTCCTCATCCTCGTCATCCTCCGCCTCCTCCTCCTCATTATCCTCCGCCTCCGCCTCCTCCGCCTCATCCGCCTCCTGCGCCTCATCCGACTCCGCCTCCTCAGTATCCTCCTCCTCAGCCTCCTCCTCCTCCTCTGCTTCCTCCTCATCATCATCATCATCCTCCCCCCATCCCGCCCTCCATCCCTCCGTCCATCCCTCCATCCCTCCCTCCATCTCTCCCTCCCTCCCTCCCTCCCCCCTCCCTCCTCCGCCTCCTCCCTCCTCCTCCTCCTCCTCCTCCTCCTCCTCCTCCTCCCTCCTCCTCCTCCTCCTCCCCCTGCTCCCCCTCCTCCTCCTCCTCATCCTCCGCCTCCTCCTCCGCCTCCTCCTCCTCATCATCATCCTCTCCCTCCTCCTCCGCCTCCTCCGCCTCCTCCGCCTTATCCGTCTCGTCCGCCTCATCCGCCTCCTCCGCCTCCTCCTCCTCCTCCTCCTCCTCCTCCTCCTCCTCCTCCTCCTCCTCCTCCTCCTCCTCCTCCTCCTCCTCCTCTCCTCCTCCTACTCCTCCTCCCCCTCCTCCTCCTCCTCCTCCTCCTCCTCCTCCCTCCTCCTCCTCCTCCCTCCTCCTCCTCCTCCTCCTCCTCCTCCTCCTCCCCCCCCCTCCCCCCTCCCCCCTCCTCCCTCCTCCTCCTCCCCTCCTCCCTCCTCTCCTCCTCCTCCCTCCTCTCTCCTCCCTCCTCCCTCCTCCCGCCTCCCGCCTCCCGCCGTAATCATCATCATCAGCATCATCATCGTCATCATCATCAGCATCATCATCATCATCATCAGCATCATCATCACCAGCCGCAGCAACAACATCGTCACCGTAACCGTCATCGTCAATAGCATCAGCAGCATCAGAATCATCGCCATTCATCCTCCTCCTCATCATCAACAACAGCATCATCATCAGCATCATCAGCATCCTCATCATCAGCAGCATCAGTATCAGCGTCAGCATCGTCAGCATCAGAATCAGCATCATCAGCACCACCGTCATCATGGTCAGCATAATCATCATCAGCGTCAGCATCACGATGTTCATCATCATCATCAGCAGCATCAGATGCGTCGTCTTTTCAGTCGTCTGCATGATCATCATGATGGTCACCATGATGATCATCAGCATAATCATCATCATCATCATCAACCTTAACAGCATCAGCATCATCGTCATCAACAACATCATCAGAATCGTCACCGCCACCGTCACCGTCATCATCCTTATCATCAGCATCAGCACCATCAGCATCATCATCATCATCGTCATCATCATCATCATCATCATCATCATCGTCATCATCATCATCATCAACATCATCATCATCACCAGCCGCAGCAACAGCATCGTCACCGCAACCGTCATCGTCAATAGCATCAGCAGTATCATAATCATCGCCACTCATCCTCCTCCTCATCATCAGCAACAGCATGATCATCAGCATCATCAGCATCCTCATCATCAGCAGCATCAGTATCAGCGTCAGCATCGTCAGCATCAGAATCAGCATCATCAGCACCACCGTCATCATGGTCAGCATAATCATCATCAGCATCAGCATCACGATGTTCATCATCATCATCATCAGCAGCATCAGATTCGTCGTCTTTTCAGTC